CTGGCTGAGGAACTCTGGGAGTTGAAGTCCACAAGTCTTAAAGTGGCCAAGGTTGGAGACCCCTGCACTAAACAGATCCCTCTTTCAGGCCCTGCTTGCTTTTGCTGGGTCTCTAATCTAGCTGTATAGGTTTACAGCTAGAAAACAGATGTTTTATTAAGCCACCAAGCTTCTTAATATCTATATGACATTAAGCTTGATTTGGGTCCAAAAAAAAAATCTTTGGTACCACTGCATCATCAAATTCATTGGGGCAATTCAACCTTCCACAACCCCCCCCCCCCCCCCACGAGCCCCCCAATTCTGTTCTCTGTTAAATAAGTCTTGAAGACCTGACTTTCCCTCAGCTTTGGGCCAAAGTAGGATGAGGACTTTCTCTAAGATGGTGTTATATCCGTTCCCTCAGGATGACTCCCTGCCTCTGTGTCTGTCTGTCTATCTGTCTCTCTCTCTCTCTCTCCCCCCCCTGTTCTTTTATATTTTGTGGTTTTTAATTGTGCACATTTCCCAGAGACATTGAGAAAGTGAGTGGCTTCAGAAATGTAAGGGGGGAAAATATTGACAGACATATATATGAATGGAAAAGAGTGCTTACTTTAAATGTTGTAAATGTATCGCTTATTTTCTAGAGGTATGTTCACAAGGAAATTATGTACATTATTTTTGGACAGCAGTGTTGAAACTGTTTTTAAAGAGTAGGATGTGTCTGTGTGTGTGTTTTCCAGACAAGCTGCGTTTTGCTGATTCTGTTATAAATAAAGTTACAGAGAAGTCTAGGCAAAGAGAAGCAGATATGTAAGTAATACATATGGATGTGTAGAAATAAATATTGTAGAGAATATATAGCTGTTATTTGATTTGCATGGGTTTGTAGTACAATTAATACGTTAATACATTATGTTTTGATATATTACATTCTAAGAGGTATACAAAATTAACATCACAATGCTGCAGATGCCTCCTTAGACTCTTGTTTGCTCCTTTAGGGCTAGGCATTCATTCCTAAAAAGTGAGGTTAAGATTGGTTTGGTAAATTAAGTTATTTCCAATTTTGTTTTGGCATGTTCTTATCTAATGATGATACTTTTTTATATTCCTAAAAACCACCCTAGTGTTGCTTGACTGAAGTCTGTGTGAATTGCATTATGAAGATCCCTGGTTTTAATTCATGGAGAATGTTTTGTATTTTTGTCTTGTTTTTCTGCCTGGAATATTTTAATTATTGCTGGCATATTGCTTAAGATATATGTTATATTAATGTCTTATATTAAGATATGTTGAGATATTTGTATTTTGTTCTGGTACAATGGATCATACGATGTTTTGTTTCTGCTAGGTACCGGGTAAAAGATAAATCAGACAGGGCAACAGTAGAACAAGTAAGTGATGTGAATTATCAGTTGTCAAAAAGAGTATTATCAGAATTCAGAGTATTTATCCTTTAAAAGGAAGAATTCAGCCAGCTACATTCTTTAATAGCAGTGCATAACATTATACTGTCAGTGTGAAATCCTCTTTTACATTATACAGTTATGCTTTATCTAGATGTGTTTTCTCCATTTCATCAGGAGATTCCAAAATCCTATCTGAGAATGATTAGAAACTTTTACTGCACTACTGGTCTGATGTTGGGAGGGCAAAATATAGGTGGAGAGGTGTTTGCTTCCAGTTCACAGTGATCGATGCTTTTGGACTATATTCTGTCCAAGTTAATTATTATTTGGGTCGAATAATAATAATAGAAGCTTTCTCAGAAAGGAAGTTTTATTCTCCAGTTTCATGATTGTATCGCTCTGCCTTCAGAGAAAAATAAAATCAGTAAGATTTCAGATGCTCTATTAAAGGTCAGAGAATTGTAGACTTCCAGTAATATAAACCATGGTTAATTGGCTTCTTTAAAGAATTGCTTCAGTTGAAATAATGTACTGTAGTTTTAAGACCAACAAATGTACATGTGTGTTTGTTTGTACAAGTGGCCCTCATTCATTTGGGACTGGAATTATAGTCACTAAGTGGTGTGATCTTAAAGCACAATACTGCATGATTGTGTTGCTTAGTGATGGCAGTTATGGCACTTCCTGTTGTCGTATATGATGTCATAAGAGAATCACCACAGATCGTTAAGCAAAGACATCATATGGTTGCCATTTGTAGCCTCCTGTCAGCTTCCCCATTGACTTTGCTTCTTGATAGCTGACAGTGAAGGTTGCAGATTGTGATCATGTTACTGCAGGATCACTGCAACAACCACAACTATGAGAACAGTTCATAAGTACAGTACTACCCTTTCAGGGTCATTGTAAGCTTGAATGGTCACTGAATGAGTGGTCATTAAGTGAGGACTGCCTGCATTGATCTGTAATCTCTTAATCAGATAATAATGGATAGAAACACATATTCATTCATAAAGTTAATATTACTCCGCGTGCTTCATGAATCCAGCAGCGCTGGTCCCATTCTATAAAGGCTTATGATGTAGCTAAGTTTTGCTCCTACATTTTAGTGAAATGTTATTTAAACTTCAAAGCATTTCAGGCTAAAAATTTGCAAAAGAAAACAAGTTGGAAAAAAAGAATTGGTATAAACTTTGCAGGAGAAAAATCTTGGCTTTTGACAAATACGCCTTCCTTAGATTTTAAACTTGAAAGGGATTTATCCACATCTTTATAAATCATGGATTTGATGCTGTTTTGTCTTTCTAAGGTCCTGGACCCAAGAACACGAATGATTCTATTCAAGATGCTTAGCAGAGGTGTGATATCTGAGATCAACGGTTGTGTCAGCACTGGAAAAGAGGTTGGCTGAACCTATAGTTTGCTAAATGTAATCTTGCAATGCATTTTTTTAAAGTCTTGTGATTTGTATTACATGCTTTCTATAATTTTTCTGAAAAGTCATTTTGGAACAAAGAGGTTCCATTCTTCTGCATCGGGACTGGCAAGGATTTATAGATACCTAAGGTTTGGCTTTGAAAAGCTAAGATGCTGTAAGGTTTGGACTTGAACGCGCTGAGTTTCAGTTTCAATTGTCAGGTGTAATGCTATGTAGGAATGTCCTTGGAAGACACAGCCAAGGGGACAATCAGGAAAAAGGCAACTTATCCTATAGCAGAAATGTGAGTGAATCAAAAGGCTAAGAAGAGATCCTCCCTAGTTTTTGAGGCTGTAAAGGGGACGGAATATGTTCACACTTGAAAGTGTTTGTTAATATTATAATGTACAAAATTATAATAAAGAATTATAGTAGTATAATAAAGTAGAATTAGCTTACCTGACCATGTTTCCTGTCTGGTTTACAAGACTTGACAGGAGGAGAGCAAAGTTTCTACCTCTATACTTTTCCTGTGATTAATTAAACACCTTCTAAGTTGGCTGGGGAATTCTGGGAGCTGAAATCCTCCAAACTTAAAGTTGCCAAGGTTGGAGGCCCCTGTTCTAAACCACTTCTAGTAGTGACTGTAGAGGAGCAGGCAGCAAGCATGTTTTGCTATAATTCTTTTAACACTTAACTATAGTTTCACGAGCTGAGTCCTGGCTTGAATCCTCATAACCCAGAGCTTAATGTAATCTGATGGTGTATTCTAGACTTTTTAAAAATCGAAAATACTGCTTTTGATGTCAGGTTAGACATCAAAAGACTTGAGGGCTATCCAGGCAGGCTATAGCTTTCAAAAACAATAAATATTGAAATAATGCTTGAGAAGACCAATGTGGAACGCAACGACGTAATTTGCAGAATTACCATTTGCAGCCGCCATTAAGTGCCTCTTTTCATTCAAGCATTTCTGCACCAAATCGAGGACACAATCAAAACAATTTTTTGTACATGTGGAAATAGGTTTACAAATACAGAGAGCCATTTTCCCCTCCACACATAGACCATGCATGATAAAGAAGTATTTGTTTCAGGTGTTATATTTGTATGCAATATGATGCAAGTGTGGGCAACTTTTTTTTTCATTCTTTTCATGGTTCACCTGTTTGGAAAGGAATTTAGGGAACTTAAAATATTAACTGTGTGTGGTTTGTACCCTTGTGATCTATAGATTTAGCCTCGAAAGTTACTGGATTCATGGGTCATGCATTTGGCTCTTGACAGTCGTCCTGTTTTTGCAGCCAGAGTACCATACACGGTAGATCTCAAAATTAATACTAAACCTAATAATTATATTTAATAAACTGTAGTGGCTGGGTTCATTAAACTCAGATATACCACAATGTGAACACAGCCAGTGATCCAAAATAAACACTATTATGTATTAAACTCTGTGCCATGTAGCAATTAATTAAAACAAAGTAATTGTAAAACTATTGATTGACTTCTCCAATAATATATATATAAATTTATATATTGGTACATTTTTGTTACATTTCTTTGCAATTTTTTCCAGGCTAATGTGTATCACGCCAGCACTGCAAAAGGCGAGAATAGAGCAATAAAGATATATAAAACTTCTATTTTGATGTTTAAAGATCGGGATAAATATGTGAGTGGAGAATTCAGGTGAGTCTGTATTGCATACTTGCTTCTGGAATTCACTTCTCTTTTTTTCAATGAACATTCAATCTCCCTCTTGCCATTCCAAGGTTTCGTCATGGATACTGTAAAGGAAACCCAAGAAAGATGGTCAGGACATGGGCAGAAAAAGAAATGAGGAATTTAACCAGGTGAGAATTGACATTCTTCCATTTTCATCTTGACTTTCATTTTTGTACAGGATTAGGGAATGATTTTAAACTTCTGGAAGTTTAACCGCATTGCAAGTTTTTAAGAAGCAAAATGTTCAGGAGATGCAATTCTTTCGACCACTCACACAGAACCAACATTGGAGTGCCTTATTCGAGGATTCCTGCTCAGCTCCAGAACAAATTCTTTTAAAAGTAAAAGAATTTAAATATCTGTGTTTCCAGGTTTGGAACATTTAAAAAAAAGAAAAGAAAGCCATGAATTTTGTTTTTCTTTTCTAACGTACAAATGATCCACATTCAGAAGCAGAAATACTGCAGTGAAAACAAAAAAATATACATTTTGAGTGATCACATTCGTGTGTTGCTCATCTTCAGAAACTGATAGTTGACAAATCATTTTTCAGTCATCTCTCTTTCCCAGAGTAAGGAGGGCTGTTGGTCTTCAACAGCCAAGCAGTCTCTAAGAGTAGAGGAAAGGAAGAATATCTCCTCCTTTTTAAAAATCTAAGCCCTAAAAGGGGCATACAATTGACAAACAAACACGAGCAAAATCTTAATAGATGCACTTTCTCACTAAATGGCAAGTGGTGGATATTTGGCCATGAAATCCAAAAACTCAAATCTAGTACATTAGGCCCTTCTTAGGAATTGAATAAAATTTAATGATGGGTATCCCAAAGGTGCTTTTTTTTCCACAACCATGACCTGGATGACTGAGAATCTCTACAGCCTTAACAATGGGTATTTTTCGGTTTAGTTCTCCAGTGGAGATCCTAGAGGGCCTTAATTTGGAGTAAGTATCTGTGTTCCAAATTTAAATTTGCCAGTTTCTTTCACAGAATATTTGTGCTCAGTCAATTCACGTTAACTCTTGAAACAAAAGGATTGTTTCTGTTTTTTAAATTGAAGCACATATCCCCATCTGAGATTTTAAAAATAATTTATACACTGAAATGGAAAGAGGTACCTCTATCAAAGACTTTGGGGAGAAAATAATTATTTGTTAACAATTTTCATGCAATACTTAACATTTGGCCTCAAGACATGAGAATGAAAATGAAAGGTGTCAACAAGATTGGGACAGCTTGTGAGGCTTTCTTTATATATTTTCTTGCTTTATATGCAGTATTTCTTGACTAAATAATTATGAAGGTAAGATCAATATTATTGGACTAAGTGATCTTCTGAATTTCTGAAGCCTTTTTCTATACATAGGACTTTTTTTAAATAGGTGATATCAAATATATCAAATAACAGCAGTTTTGTCTTTTTGGTTTCTTGCTTGGTAGGTTACATACAGCACAGATCCCATGTCCAGAACCCATTATGCTAAGAAGTCATGTTCTTGTGATGGGCTTTATTGGCAAAAATGATATGTAAGTATAATCAAGTGCTTTGTGGCGGGGCTCAAATTTTTAGTTAAGCCAGGATTTATTTTAATTAAAATAAATTATGCAAACCATAATACATAATATACTGTACACTGAGTCACACAGAATAGTAAACACATTCTTACATACTTCTATAGGAGTTATTTAAGAAGTATAACATGGGAAAGGGCTATATAGGAAATTCAAGTACTAATTTATTAGTGTCTTCCAGTGCATTGGTCAATGTTTCTTCAAACTCCACAACGTTAAAATGTGTGGATTTCAATTCCCAGCATGCAAGCCAAAGGAATTTGGAGAGTTGAAGTCCACATATCTTAAAATTGCTGCAATTTGGGAACACTGGCAAAAGTTTGTAGAATCTAAAGCTTTAGAAAAATTATTCCTCTAGTACATTTCTCAATTCTAGCAAAACTAGTTAGATGGCTGATCAATATAGTACAGTCTGTGTGGCTAAACTGGTGGATAGTGCAAAACCTTCCGTAGCATATGTACCGTATATACTCGAGTATAAGCCGAGTTTTTCAGCCCTTTTTTTGTGCTGAAAAAAACCCCCTCGGCTTATACTCGAGTGACAGATTCCCCTCTGAAAAAAAAAAATGGTGTGGAGCTCCGGAGCTGGGCAGCCGCTTCCCTGCTTCCGTGTTTCCTTTGCAACTTGTAAGCATGGGGGTAATCGGAAGCAGAAAAGTTCTTGCATGGTTTCCAAGGCGTCCCCTCTCCCCCTAATTCCTCCCTCCCCCCCCCACCTCCGACTCAATAAGCAGCGCTCAGGGTTGCCAGATCGCAGCTTGGCTCTGCGGCCAAACTCAAATCAAAATATGGCCAAATTATTTTATCTCACGGCCAAATTATTTTATGCAATATAACATGAGGATATATTGTTTTTTCTTTTTTTAACTGTTTTTTTTTGGGGGGGGAAAGACCCACCGTCATGTGAGAATGCTCAGTCACGAAATCTATCCGCCCGAAAATAAGTGTGTGTGTGTGTGGGGGGGGATTTTAACAGAGGGAAGACGTAGGGAGAAGGCAAAAGCGACGGAAGATCCTTCAGGGGAAACTGAGGGGGAGACTCACCCTTGGTCCAGATGAGCCCCCTTCCCCGCCCCTAAGGAAGCAGAGGCAGCCAGCAAGGGCAGGCAAGCCCCACTTTGCGGACTCCGTCCGTCCTCGCTCCCACCCAAAGCCACGAAGTCCCCCAATCGCGCAGCCCAGAATCACCCTCCCCTCAGGGGGCAGCAACGACGCCCGGCGTTTCCCGAGACAAGAAGCTCCGCCGTGCAATGAAAGCGCCCTGGCTCTAGGCTCGCGGGCTCAGAAAACAATGCGAGCCGGGGTGGCTTCGGCTCCGCTCGGCTTCTCCAACATCCGGCGCCGCCCTGTTCTATGTGCCGGGCCCGGCAAGTCCGAGCAGCCAGCACATAGAACAGGGCGGCGCCGGAGATCATTAGCCGCCTCTTTCGCAGCACAAGAAGAACAGGGTGGTGCTGGACCATTGGAGAAGCGGAGCAAAGCCGGAGATTAGTAGCTGCCTTTCGGCGAAGAAAGCTTCCCCCAACCAGCTGGCTAGTCGTCTCCTCCTTGGCCATACAGAACAAGCAGGCAGAGAAGGAGGAGAGCAGCTGGCCAGTTGGGGGAGGCTTCTTGTGCTGCGAAAGAGGTGGCTAATGATCCCCGGCTCCGCTCGGCTTCTCCAACATCCGGTGCCGCCCTGTTCTATGTGCCGGGCCCGGCAAGTCCGAGCAGCCAGCGCGTGGAGCAGGGCGGTGCCGGAGATCGTTGGCCGCCTCTTTCGCAGCGCGGGAGGCCTCCCCCGGCTGGCCAGCTGCTCTCCTCCTTCTCTGCCTGTTTGTTCTGTGTGGCCGAGGAGGAGGAGACCGGCCGGATGGTTGGGGGAGGCTTTCTGTGCCGAGGGAGGCGGCTGCTGGTCTCCGGCTTTGCTCCGCTTCTCCGATGGTCCGGCGCTGCCCTGTTCTTTACTTGGGCAGCCAGGCGCCCGCAGCGGCGCCTGCGGCGGCAACAGGCAGTTCCGCCCGGCCTCCGCTCGGGTGTCCGGCTGGGGCTGTCGGGAGTTGCTGCCGCCGGTGCGGCTCCAGTCCCACGTTGCCTTGGGAAGGGTGGGGCAAAACCAAGAGCCGCTGAGCCTGAGCCTCTGGTGCTGCTGCTGCCGTTGCAAAGCGCCGCCGCGGCTCTTCCTTTTTGCCTTTCCCTTCCCGAGGCGACGCGGGACTGGGGCCGTGCCGGCGGTAGCGACTCCTGACTCAGGGGGCCTCCGAGGCGAGGGGAAGAGAGTGACTCCTGCCTCCCGCTGTCGTCATCATCTTCTTTTGGGTTAGTGAATCAATTAAACCTTTCATGATAGTGAGATCGTTTCCCAAATTAATTATTTTTATTTTTGAAATTTACCAGTAACTGCTGCATTTCCCACCCTAGGCTTATACTCGAGTCAATAAGTTTTCCCAGTTTTTTGTGGTAAAATTAGGGGCCTCGGCTTATATTCGGGTCGGCTTATACTCGAGTATATACGGTAATCAATTTTGCAGAAACAGACTGAAATGAGTAACCTAGTTGCAGCATTCAGGGCTAGCTAGCTGCAGTCTCCAAACTGCTCTGAAATTGGGAATCAGAGTATATTAAAAGTAATCCCATTTTGAAGTTATTGTAAACGTAGTAGCAATGTACAAAATGTTTGGACTCTGGATTGTCTCAAATCGAAAACATTCTGCTTCAAATTTAACAGGTTCAATCAGCCTGAAGCACTTCTGAAATTATTAAATTTCTAATGGGAAAGAACTGCTTTTTGCTTGAAATAATTTTTTCAAATTTGAAAGTGGACATTTTGAGCTTGAAAACTTTTGCACTCAACTGGAAGATTATTGTTGTAATGCTATCCATGTCATGGAAAGCTTGAAGCTGATTGTTATTATTTGGGCAACAGAACATGGATTTAAAGCTGGAAGCTGGATTTAATTTGAGCACCCCAAATTAAGCATTGTTCTCTGCAGGAAAATCGCAACCCTTTCTACAACAGGTTAATTGTTCTGTTCCTGAAGCCGAAGAAAACAAATCAAGGATACCCAGTTGCTGAAGTGTATATTTGTCCTGGAAACTAGATTGACCCTGGCAGCTGAGCATCTTTAATTTGTCTTTTAGGCTACCTAACACTTAATTAAATAGTGTTGATGCTTATGTTTAAATTAAGATACTAAATTAAATAGTGCTGATGTTTACTTTTAAATTTAAATACTAATTGACATATCAGTTTAACAGGTTCTTTGGAGGAGGGGGAAGTTCATCCTTGATGTCTATTTAATAAATTGCTTTCTTCATTTTGTTGTACGTTGTAAAATAATACATGAATTATATGAATTTAATTCACATACATGAATTAAAGTATGCCATATAAGCTGTAGTTTTTTTGAGTGGTGCGGTAGCTCAGAGGTGGAGCTCTCGCCTCACAATCAGTCTGTGAGTTCACTCTGCATTATTGATGACAGGAAGGGCATCCGGCCAGTTCCATTCAGTTGCCCAAACTCCACCTTGCAAGGGATTATGGGGTCATTAAAAGAGGATGATGATATAAGCAGGTTTTTAAGTGCATGTCTGGATTACTTTGGACGTAAGATAAATAAATGTCTCAGGTATCCATTTTATCTCTTGCACCTGAAGTCCACTAAGAGGGTAACTGTTAAATTGAGACTTCACTGTGCGTAAACTCATTGAGGTACTTGTAAGTACTTGTACTTGTAATTGTGATATTTGTGAGGTTTGATCAGAAGGCAAGATACCTTGTACCAGGTTTAAATGTAAGGATGCGAAAATTGGGGAAAAAATAAGAGAGTTTTCCACTTTTCCTCCTAAATGTTTTGTTTTTCCTCTTGTGATTCATGTGGGAGTTTATTTTGGCCTTATGTGATTTCAGTATTTAAGGAATGGGACAGTTGAAGAGATATATAAACATTATATTCTTTGTTTCTTTTCTCCTTTGCTCCAAGGCCCGCTCCTTTGTTGAAAAATGCCCAGTTATCAGAGTCAAAAGCCCGAGAGTTATACCTGCAAGTCATACAATACATGAGAAGAATGTACCAGGATGCCAAGCTTGTTCATGCAGATCTCAGTGAATTTAATATGCTGTATGTCTTATTTTTGTTTTTCAACTTTAACATTGGGACTTGAGACTTATTTGTGTAATGACTATGCAGGGGTTACAATCCTCCCCTTAAGATAGGTATTGTTGAGCAGAAAGCATATCCTCCAGTCAGTATCTCTCTGGGGGCCTGTTAGGGCTACTCTCTGGAACACTTGCTGGATTCCCAAGTGTAATTTAAGCCATCTGCTGCTGAGTGGTGAATTCTCTGGATGCATTCTGACCTGAGAGAAAATGGCATATTTTCCTCTGCCCAGACAGGACTGCGCAGAATTAATTCTTGCATTGCAGGGGTGAAGAACAGTTGATCACTGAATGTTGCAGAAATGAAGACGCTTTTGTTAGTTATCCAGCCCAAGCCCACAGTCATTTTAGCCAGAATTGCACACCATCTCACTTTACAAAGATCCCAATTTAAAGGTTTTAACTTTCAGGAAAAATTTGGAAGTCACTCCAAATCTAGCTAGCCTTGAGTTTCAAGATCACATACTGGATATTGTTCCTTCATTATCGACCTTCTAGCCTTTCTTTTGCATGGAGAACAGAATGGCAGAACAGAGTGACAGGGAAATAAGAGTTGAAACTATGCATGTTTGTCAAACTTATTTGCCTCCTGTCTGTCTACCTTTTTTGTCAGAATTGCGCAGCGGCAGCAAGTGTCCAAATGAAGTTGCACTGACACAAACTTGTATAGGTAGTCCTCGACTTAGAACAGTTCATTTAGTAACTGTTGCACTGAAAAAAAGGACTTATCACCATTTTTCACACTGACAACCTTTGTAGCATCCCCATGATCGTGTGATCAAAATTCAGATGCTTGGCAGTGGACTCATATTTATGACAGTTGTGGTGTCCCTTTTGTGACCTTCTGACAAGCAAAGTCAATGGGGAAGCCAGGTTCACTGATCAACTGTGTTACTAATTTAATGGCTGCAGTGATTCACTTTAACAACCATGGCAAGAAAGATCATAAAATGGAACAAAACTCACTTAACAAATTTCTCACTTGGCAACATAAATTTTGGGCTCAGTTGTGGTCATAAGTCGAGGAATACCTGTAGTTTTACATAAATAAATACATTTTACATTAATATTTACAGCAGACAAAGATAGTCAGGCAAACAGGAGTAAGATGAGGTAAATCATAGAGCACACAAGGTACACAGAAGAAAAAGGCAGGAAAACAGAAAATTCCCCCTCTATACCCACCACAACTAATCACAGTGCAGATTGCCTCACACAGGAGCCAGCACACTCCAACCTATCAACCACAACTCTGTGTTGTGGCTTACTGCACAACCCCACTGCTCCAGCTACTAAATTTAAATGTCTTAACCTCTTCTTTCAAACTGACTTGCTAGATTGGCATTATTTAATTTGAATGACAGCTTCATTGCAGCTGTTAAAACTCTTGTGGCATTCATACATCCAGATATCCGCCCAACACTCTGATGTTTTCTGAAAATGCCATAATAGATATAAGATATTTGGAAATAAATATCGTGGTATTGATGTTTTCCCTTTTTCTAGGTATCACAGTGGTCAAGTATATATTATAGATGTGTCCCAGTCTGTGGAGCACGATCATCCCCATGCTTTGGAATTCCTGAGAAAAGACTGTGCCAATATCAACGGTAAGGAGGAGATAATGGTCTTCGTAAGATTCAGCTATTAAATACAGTTGATCATATTTAAACTGCATAACTGGATATTTCAATCTTAAAAATAATCCTGATGGTTACAACTAAGATCATAATTCTGATGTGCTTGGAAAGGGGGTGCTTAAAGATGGATTATCCAAGAAAGCTTTCTGTAGTGCCATTCAAAGTTCCTGCCACATAAATGAACTTCTAAATCTTGTGGCACAAAGTTTGAGTTGGAGCCATCCAAGTTTTTGTAGGCAATAATAACTTTAATGTTATTATAACTTTCTGGCAGATTTCTTTTATAAGTACAACGTTGCGGTGATGACTGTGAGGGAGCTCTTTGAGTTTGTCACGGATCCATCTATTACAAATGAGAATATGGATGCCTATCTTGAAAGGGTAAGGTTTGAAGATTTATCTTCTATGAAAAAATATTCATATTGAAGGTGCATACAGATAGTCCTCATATAACGACCACAGTTGGGACCAGCAATTTAGCTGTTAAGTGAGAGGGTTGTTAAGTAAAACTAATCTTATGATCTTACTCCAGTATTCCTTTGCTTTACGTATCTGCAAGTCGTAATTACAAGGATTGGTCATAAAATTACTTTTTCATTACTGTCATAACTGAATGATTACTAAGTACATTTGCTAAAGATGTCCCCATTAAATTGCCCACCGAAGTGGTACCACTCTATCTACTCTATCTGTAGCTACTGACTTTATCAAAAGCATATGGGGCTATCTGAAATCCAGGGACATTCTTTGAGATAAAGATGATTTAGAGGACTGATGAGCTACAGCCATCCAGCTTCTAATTTTGTTTAAAATTAAGTGAAATTAAGTTAACTGCAATGGGTCAGGCAGTCTGGCGCACTTAAGGAAGCCGCGCAGTCGTTCATTGGTGCCCATGAGCATTGTACCGGACATGGGCAAGATCCATTGAATCTGGTTTATAATTTAAATTATGTGTCCTGATCTGCAGCTTTCAGAAAAATCTAACTTCTACATTTTGGCCTAGTTAAAGTTCACAGTCCGCTTTTAATGTACTGCATTACTGTAGTCTACAAGTGATAAGCATGATTGTCTGACGTCTTTTCTATCTGCTTCAGAAAAGACACAGTTGGCAAGTCAGCTCAAATTAATACAGTGCCCTCCTGGTCATGTACCGTACTAAAAATAGATTCTCCAGAAATTGCAAGCCAACTCCCTTTCTGCAAACATGAGATCCATGTGCATTTGCTTCATATGGAGCAATTGATTTCCATTTGCCAGTTTTGGCTTTTGTATCCTGAGCATTCTGATATGGCAGAACCCCATAAATGTAGCAGCAAATTCCTTCAAATATCCTTCAAAGGTCCTGTTTCTCCAGATCAGTTATGAAGCCAAATGATGATCTAGTGGCAGGGAACTATACAACAACAGAGATTTATTAAAAGAGGCATTAACACTTGGATGAAAGAATATGCAACATTATCTAAGAATTGGTTCCCAGATTGATAAACAAACAGTTGCAAATTTCATTATTATTGGAGGGGAAATTGGGTTTCCTTGTAGAAGGCAGTTAGAGAAGCAGAGTATCTCCATTCCAGTGTGCATAGAAATGTACTGCTTCCACATTAAACACAATTAGTTGCCGGGAATTCTTCTAACCCATCCATCTCAATAAATCTTGCTAAAAAGAACTTGGTGAAAATTGTGTTTAGGAAAAAAAAATCATTTTGGTAAAAGCAATTGTCAAAGAACCTAACCAGCTCTTTCAAATGAGTTTTCTGATGTTAGGAATTTATTTCTCAATATCTTATAGATAATGGAAATTGCATCTGAAAGAACAGTGGAAGAAATATCCAATCAGAATAATGTAGATGAAGAGGTAAGCTAGTGGACTAAATAAAACATCATGTCTCTTCTGAAAGAACCTGAACTATTCTTCCATATTTTGATAATACTCAGGAATATATTTATTTTCAAATGATTCATCAAAGGTATTAACAAAGTTTGTATTTTTATAGCCTTCAAATAATTGCAGTAATCGATTCCACCATTATAAATTTCATGTTTAAATAATTAATAAACTGAAATAAAGACTCCATCACGGACGAAAGTATATTTTACTTAAGTCTCTCTTAAATGCCCTAGTTTTTGTGCTCTTAGCTCTAAAAAAATACCTTTAATTTGTAATAGAGTTAACATGATTAAATGGAAGGGTGTAATATCGGTTAATACAAGATGTTTCTTTCAATACACTTACAAAATGATTTCAGAAAAATGCCACTTAAACGTGTCTCAAGGGTGCTTTTTCAGGAGGCAACTAGACTTTCTTGTTTTCTCATAGAAGACATTTCGCTTCTTATGCAAGAAGCTTCTTCAGCTCTTAAACGTGTTTCTGCTTTTTCAAAAAATGAATCTGATTTACACTTTAGTCCAGGGGTCTTCAAACTTGACAGCTTTAAGACTTGTGGACTTCAAGTCCCAGAATTCCTCCTCCAGTCATGTTAGCTTGGGAATTCTGGGAGTTGAAGTCCACAAGTCTTAAACTTGCCAAGTTTGAAGACCCTTGCTTTAGTCCATCCTGGCAAGCCTATGAGTGAAAGATCTATGATTACCTCCTCTCTTCATTATCAATAATAATAGAAAAAAATATAAAAAGTGATTTCTAGTTTTATCGGATCATGCTTAATTCGCCTTGCTAGGTGTTCAAGAAAGCCTATATCCCGAGGACTCTGACAGACGTTAAGAACTATGAGAGAGATGTGGACATAATGACGAAGCTGAAGGAAGAAGATTCATCCCTCAGTGTGCAGCAAGATAATGTAAGCAATACTGGATTGACTGGACATTTAAAGAAATATGCAATTTATGTATATGGAGTTGATTAGTGTATCACATTACATATTGGGCTGGATTCAGACTGGCCTGAACATAAGGGCTGTGCCCAAAATTGTTGGGACTCAGGCAACATAGAAATTATTACGTTATTATGGTTGGCCATAGAGACAAGCCAATGTTTAGACTGGGTTTGGCAGGATATAAGTGTTAGAAAGGTACTTTATTCTGGAAGAAAAGTCGCTTTTCTCCCTGTGTTCCCTGTATGTGTTTCTCTTGCTGCCCCAAAGGGTTCCATGTTGTAGAGATTTTCATGAGGCATACAAAACTGTGGAATGAGGAAGAGTTGTAACAATTCTTCTTGGGTGGAGATCCTCTGAGCACCCCACTGGAGTCACTTTAATACTGACAATGGTAATAAGAGGTTTAAATTAATCTCTTCTCATTTCTCCTTTTTTTTTTTTTTTTTGAAACAAATTTTATTAATTTTACAGACAAACAAAGCATCATTAGACATTAAAGACATTAAACCTCTTTCCATTATAAATTTTTACAAGGCAGATAAAACATTGTTTTATACAATATAATTCTAATATATCCCATTTCCACTTAAATATTTTTTTAGCAGATTTCTCATTATTTCTCTTTGCTCTTATTCAATTATATTTCTTCTATATTTATCCATTTTATACTCATCATATTCATATTTCCCTCTGCCTTGTTAACAAATATTCCTCTCGCTTTCTCCCAAGGTTTTATTAAATCTCAATCAAACATACACACACAAAACACAAAAACATAAAAACTTTTTACAAAGTAGCTTGGCCCCGGCTTACCTCTCTTCGTATGGACTTCAATTAAGTTCATGTTCAGCTTATATGCCATTACCTATCTTATTACCCTTCTATATCTTCATTATAACTTCTCCCCGCTTTCCACTCTTCTTAATTCTATTTTATTTATTTCATCTTAATTTAAATCATTATATTTGTATCTTTTGTCCATTCTTTTCCAATTATCCATTTATCTCATTCATATTAGAAAAAAAAATATTTCTCCTGAAATCACTAATTGAAGTATGATGCCTTTCCATCGCTCCCCTAAATTAACATTTAAGGTAACACCTAATTCCCTATATAATTCTGCTTAGTACATTCTACTTACTAAAATAGTAAATCCATAAAGTAATTAAATATATAATTAAACATTAAATCTCATAGCATTCCAATTATCTATTTCAAAAACAAATACCATAATAATAAGTTCATACAAACATCCACACAATAGTCAATTAAACTCTATAAAACTAAATATTTTAAACATTCCTTTTAATATTTTATTAAATATTAAAATCTATCATTATTAAACCTTTAATGTTTTAATCTTTACTTAAGCCTTATAAAATTCTAATTTTCTATTTCTGATACAAATACTACAATACTATCATGTACCTTGCAGAAACATTTTGGAACATAGTTATGCATTACCCATTATCCCTAAAAAAAGATTTCTTTTCCACATCTTGTTTCATACCTTTGTGGCTTTTTCCCCCCTTCTTCCTTCCTATCTTATCCCATCTGGTCTTTTTACCCCCCTTCGCTTCCCCACTCTGTTGTATTTCTCTTTTCTTTTGCTTTCTAACATTGTATTGATTTTGCATCTTATTTTTCTCTTTCTTGGATGTTTTTTTAAGTCTTATGTCCTTTTTCCTTCCTCTCTTTTTCCTTCCTTTCTTGATCAACTTTGTAGACTCATTAAAGATGGCTTCTTCTTCTTCTTCTTCTTCTTCTTCTTCTTCTTCTTCTTCTTCT